AAAAAAAGAAAAAAGAAACAGAAGACTAAATAATAAATTTAAAATGTGAAGATGTTCTTATGTTTTCACTTAGGATTATATTTCTGATAGACATCTGTTTATAGGTATTTGAACCAATATTTAATTTATTATAATTGCTGCATGATGATCAAAACACACACACAAGGAAAATCAGAAGCATTTGTCCCACACCTTCCCGCATACCTTGAACCTCCTCACCCTATTTGACGGTCCTCATGGACCTGTAATCTTGTCATATATGTGCACTATCAAAAATTAAATAATACAGGAGAATGGTGCTATAGTTCAGTGGCTAAAATCTTTACCTTGCATGTACCAGCATCCCATAGGGGAGCCAGTTCATGCCCCAGCTGCTCCACTTCCTATCCAACTCTCTGCCTGTGGCCTAGGAAAGAAGGAGAGGATCACCAAAAGGCTTTGGATCCTGCACCAATGTGGGAGACCTAAAAGAACCTCTGGGTCCTGGATTCAGATCAGCTCAGCACTGGGCATTGCAGCCAGTCGACGAGTGAACTGGTAGATGGGAGATCTTTCTTTCTCTCCTCTCTGTAAATAGCCCTTTTCAATAAATTTTTTTAATGAAATAAAAGAAAAAATAAAAATTTAATTCAATTAAAGAAGTCAAATAAACAAATATAAAAAAAACCTATGAGATGTGATTTAGAATGTTTTCACCACAAAAAAAATGTTAATTATTAAAGGAGACAAATTTTTATACTAGTATGGCATTACATGATGAATACATGTATTGTAGCATCTCAACATGCCATAAATCAGCACAATTTTATATGTCTTTAACATTTTTAAATTTTCAATTGCTAATAATTGTTCATATTCAAGGGTTGTAATATTACTTTTCATTACATATATTATGTGTGCTAGCTAAACCTGAATAATCAATATTTGATTTGCTTCAACATTACTTTATCATTGGAAGCTTAGAACTCCCTTTATCTTCATGAAATATATTCTACTTACTATAATCATCCAATAAACATAATGTGTAATATCTACAAAAATAATTATTATCTCATGTATTGGGAATTTAAATGAGTTTATATTGAGCACACCAAGAGTATTGCTCCACATTCATTTTAGTAGGTAACTGATTACCCATTGGAAGCATTTCCACAGAGACTTATGTATGCCCCCAAGGAAATTTCTCTAGGATAAAAATTAATGACTTATTTAAAAACAACACCCAAGGTTATTTTTTTCTAACAACAGCATACAAATATATGTGCTATCTTCTTCACATTTCTATTTCTGCTTTCCTGCTCCTTGGGTTGATTTTCCTTTTGTCATCCTGAAGTTGTCCATTCAGTGTCAACTGAAAAACTAAGAATTCTGATGCTAATTCATAGGTACTGTACTCACCTCTGTAATGCAATTCCACTTTCCTTCTCTGAATGTTTGAAGGATTCAGCCACAGTCATTCAGAATTCCTTTCTGTTAAAGGATATTTATCAATCTAAGGTAGGCAAAAAAAAATACTTGTGTTTAAAGATTTTAAATTCTCAGAAAAGACGTGTGTGTGTGTGCGTGTGCAAATCTTGGTAGCTGTGAAGCATATGAAAAGCAGGAAATGTCATTTCGAGTAACCTTTCAAATCTTTCAAAACATCTGTTTCAATTGTTCAACAAACAGCTTGGTTCCTCATTGCAATTAACCTTTTTCTCATTCACTTACACCAAAATTTCAAACATTTTAATTAAATTTTAATTAAAATTTTAATTTAATGTTGTATATTGATACTGAGGCCTTGTTGGGGCTTTTAACTGACCGGATCTTTACTCTGTTAGACCTATCTTCAGACCATAGAAGGTCTCCCCAAGAGGCCACTGAACTTATCTGGACAATAAGACGCTGAACTTTATGCTAGGCATGTGTTTGCAAGCAATGAATCTCAACTGAACTTGAACTATGGTTATGCAACAAGGTGGAGGAATCCACCATGGGGGGAGGGGTATGGGAGGGGTGGGGGGAATCCCCAGCGCCTATAAAACTGTACTACATAATACAATGTAAGCAACAATAAATAAAAAAAAAATTTAATTTAAAATAATACCCAAAAGAAATTAAAGAGTTAAACATGAGATTATCATCAAATCATGGGAATATATCACATGAATTATTTCATAGCATATGGCCAAAATTACACAAATTCATTTGCTTTGTATATTTTATTCCAAGAAGCTTGGCATCAGAAAAAAATAATCTTTCAGTTTTTGTTCTTTTATTATTGCTAACTCTAAAAAAAGACTCAATTACAAAATAACTAAAGACTGTGTATGAATAAAGGGAAGTGAGAGTAAGATGAGCTAGAATGAGAAAATATACCTACAAAGAAGAGCTCAACAGGAATAAAATGCTGCACACTATTAAAGTGAGTTTAAAATTTTGTGTATACATAGCTCCCTTTGCATTGAAAGAGTGATGGAAAAACACGGAAAGAAGATCCAAAAGACAGATGGACTCCAAGAACCACAAAACAAAAATTGAAATATGAGAATGACAGGGAAAGGCTGAGCAATCTGATAGATTAAATCTAATAGATTAAATGCATTTCAAGGGTAAATCATTTAGATTGAATCACATGGATTAATTCTCCAGTGTCTCTAACAGAAAATCCAAAGAAATAAGAGATTTTGCAGTGATCTACATTCACAAACAAAACTATACCCAATGAGGAGAAAATAAAAACAAAATAACAAATTATAGAAACTTAACAAAATTACCGAGCACATAATGGAGAGATTACCATCTTAGAATTAGGTATAATTATTTATGAGAGAACTCATGGAGCATCAAATAAAACACAAAAAACTGAGTAAATTATAATAAACAAACATAAAATATGTTTATACAGATGTCAAACAAAAAAAAAACAAAATTTCAATAATTCAATTATTACAAAATGAGGAGATGTAAGTTTTGCAGAATACAATCTGAAGCAATGAAATCTTACCAAACTTACTTCATATGTCATCTGCCACACAGAATCTTCAGCAGAAAAAGATCTGAAAACACACAAATCTAAATTCAGCGTATCCATTTTGAATAATGTCAAGCTCCAACGAGGCTTGAAGCTGTTTTGCTCATGCAAAAGCACTTCTAGAACACAGATGCTTTCATTGGAATCATGAAATTCTGGTGTATACTGACAAAACTTTGCTAATTCCTCTGGGAAAATGAATTCTGTTTTGGTGTTTGGAATCTTCTTCATTATTGGAAAACTCCACAAATGAATGATCTATGAACAGTGTTGCAACATAGTGTCCCAGCTGCTCCACCATCAATCCTTCTCTTTGCTCTTGGCCTGGAAGCAGTTGAAGATGCTCTGAAAGCTTGGCCCCTGACTCTCCATCAGGGGAACCTGGAACAAGCTCCTGGCTCCTGGCTTCAACTGCTGTGACCATCAGAGCAGTGAACCCATGCATCAAAGATCTTTATCTCCTCCTTCCTCTCTGTGACCCTGACTTTCTAGGAAATAAATAAATCTTTAAAAACAGAATTTAACCATTTCTTAAAATATACATAGTAATAGTCCCTTTATTTTAAGCTTTAAAATAGAGTACTAAGCAATTAAATGAATTTTTTTAAAACGCCTTTATATTATCTGATGCAGAGTTCATTAATGATTGATGACATTATGACATTATTCTTGTTATTAAAAATCCTGACCGAAGGTAGGATGAGCGTATTAATGCCCAACCTTCACATTCATTCTTAGTAGCTTGGTGTCAGGCCTCTCAGAATAATTTTGAAGGTCAATGAAGCAGCTGATATGCAAACTAGGATGGCTTTGTAACCTTGAGAACATACTGTGGTACCTTCATACTACTGATTGCTTGGCAGAGCAACTCATATTGTTCCACACTGGGTGCCATCTTACCTTTTCCTATGAATATGCAACATCTGACAAAGACTATGAATTTCATGAAACATACTTCACTATCAAAGGTAAACAGTAGTGCTTTGTTTATCTTTCTCCAAAAAATTGTTTGCTTCACTAGCTGATTTTGTTTTGTCTTTGAATGTGCTTCTCAGATGGAAAACAAAGAATTTAAGGATGGGCTCTGGGCTTTCCTTTTGACAGCAACTACCTGAAGTTAAAAATCTTTTGTGTCTATGCAATTAGTGAGTCATTGTTAACTATTTAATAAGTAGAACAAGAAGATAAAAAGGCTTACTAAAGGAAAAGTCCTACAATGCAGAAAAATTAAATAAAATTTGACAAGGATGAACCATGGTCAAAGTTCAAAAGCACACAGACACACATACTTGTCAATTGTTGGACTCTATCCAGTTATTCCAATGCAAACTGATACTCAAATATTCACATATTTGATTTAATTCCAAATAGCTGATGAAGATGCATTTCAACACAAGTTATCTTACTGTCCCAGATATGTCTCTTCCACTAACTACTTGCAGTTGAGTAAAGCTCTCTTCATAACTCTCATAGATCCAGGTTGTTTCCGCCTTTCTCTAGTAATATTACCAACTCAATATTGGAACTCTTGTCAAGGTTTCAATGACATCTGCTGGCACTGATTCTGAACAGAGCTTACGTTGCCCCTACTCTGTCAGGCTACACAGTGGAATTCAGTTTCACAGCCTAACGGCCTCCTTAGCACACTTTTATACAGGCTAAAGTTTAAACCATATTACGGTAGATTTTTTTAAGATGTACTCACTTATGTTTTTCATTTAATAATTACTAGGACAAATAGATACTTACTGTCATGCTTATTGTTCTGAATAAGAAATACAAACACAGAATTTACTTATTAAAGGCAATAAGCTTTAATGTGTAGTGCTATCAAGGAAAATATTATCATCTGACACCACCTCATTTATTATTTAACTCAATTACTGAATGACATTATTAATGACCAATCAAGGACTGTTATGTTACTTCTCATTACTCGATCATTTACCACTATGTTCCATAGGGATAAAAAAAATTGAACACAATGGCACTGAGTAATGAAAGCCACCCTGAAGAGTTCATTCTACTTGGCTTTGCTGACCGACCTTGGCTCCAGCTCCCTCTCTTCACTGTTCTTCTCATCACATACCCCATGGCCTTGGTGGGAAACATCGCCATCATCCTGGTGTCCAGGCTAGACCCCCGGCTCCACAGCCCCATGTATTTCTTCCTCACCAACCTCTCCTTCTTGGACATGTGTTACACCACCAGCATTGTCCCTCAGATGCTGTTCAACCTGGGAACCTCTAAGAAGACAATCAGCTATGTGGGCTGTGCGATTCAACTTTACATCTTCAGCATAATGGGGAGCACCGAGAGTCTGCTCTTGGCTCTTATGTCCTTTGATCGCTATGTGGCCATCTGTAGACCTCTGCACTACACCCTCATCATGAATCAGGGCATCTGCATCCTGTTAGCATCCATTGTGTGGCTCATTGGAATCACCTATGCAGTCTCAGAGGCCACCCTCACACTACAGCTGCCCCTGTGTGGTGTCAATACATTGGATCACTTACTCTGTGAAGTCCCATTTCTGATCAAGATAGCCTGTGGTGACAAGAGGGCTAATGAGCTGATACTCACTGTGGCGTGCTTTTTTATGGCAGCTATTTCTTTAGGCTTCATCATTGTTTCCTATGCTCTCATTGGACGTGCTATATTTAAGATTAAGTCTGAAGGACGAAAAAAAGCCTTTGGAACATGTTCCTCTCATCTCATTGTAGTTGTCTTATCTTTTGGTCCCGGCATTAGCATGTACCTTCAGCCCCCTTCTTCCATCTCAAAGGACCAGCCCAAGTTCATGGCTCTCTTCTATGGAGTGGTGACACCAACACTCAATCCCTTCATCTACACCCTGAGGAACAAGGATGTAAAAGAAGCATTAGGAAACCTAATGAGAAGTATTTTCAGTTCCAAGTCATGCATCTTAAACATCAAATGAAATTATTTGACGCATAGAGAACCTTTGAATGGGTTTTTCTAGGAAATCATTCTTGATTTACAATCGAATTTCATGCTACGTGTCTTTCTTGCAAAATATTGCATGTTTATTTTTCCTTGTAGTCATGTTAGGTAAGGATTATACTCAGTTAATATCACCAAAATGATCACTGATTTTTAAAAGCACATCAAAATACTCCTTTCTGTTTGTCACACACCAAAATAGAAAACACATTAAGTGGTAAATACATAATATGAATTCAAGTCTGTCAGCATAACTACGGCATGTCATCTGAGAAACATTATCTCATTCTTCAACTCGCCCTGTACCTCAGTAAGTATCCTAATTTCACTGTGAACTCAGTATGAAGCCCACTACGTTTTTGAAGAATAATGTATTTATCATCCTCAATTCATACAGATGCTATCACTTCTTTGGAATAACATTTTGTAGGATTAGCCTCTTTCATGCCCGTTCAGACACTTACAGCCCATATCAGGGTGCTTGGGTTCAATTCCTGCCTATGACTATGACTCTATCTTCATATTTATACAGACCCTGGAGGGTAGAGGTGATGGTCCAAGTAACTGAGTTACTGCTGCACCCATGTGGGAGACTTGGATTGACTGTCCAACTCCTATCTTTGTCCTCAGCCTGGGGACATTGCAGGCATTTGAGGAGTGATTCGGTGGATGGGAGTGTCTCTTGCTGGCTCACTCTTTCTCTCTGTTTCTATCTCTGAGTTTATGCCTCTCTGCTTCTAAAATAATACGTAAAGTGTTTTTTTTTTTAAGTTTTTTTTCTTCATTTGAAAGGGGATTTACAGAGAGAAATACCTTCCAACCACTGGTCTACTTCCCAAGTGGCTACAATGGCCATAGTTCAGGCGATCCATAACCAGGAGCCTGGAGCTTATTCCAAGTCTCCCATGTTTGTTCATAAACCTAAGATTTTGGGCCATCCATGACCTCTTTCCCAGTCCATAAGCATGGAATTGGATGAAAACTATAGCAGCCGGGACATGAACTATCCCCTCTATGAAATCCTAGCACATACAAATCAATATAGTGAGCCCGGCGCCATAGCGCAAGTGGTTAAGGTCCTCGCCTTGCACGCCCGGGATCCCATATGGACGCCGGTTCTAATCCCAGCAGCCCCACTTCCCATCCAGCTCCCTGCTTGTGGCCTGGGAAAGCAGTCAAGGATGACCCAAAGCTTAAAGTTCTGGGGCCAGTATTGTGCCATAGTAAGTTAAGCCTCCACTCTCCACTTGAGGCATTGGCATCCCATGTGGGCACCAGTTCAAGTTCCAGCTGCTCCATTTCTGATCAAGCCCCCTCATAATAATTTTTTTATTATTATTTAAAGATTTTTTTTTATTTTTATTGGGAAGGCGGATATACAGAGAGGAGGAGAAATAGAGAGGAAGATCTTCCGTCCCATGATTCACTCCCCAAGTGAGCACAATGGCTGATGCTATGCCGATCCGAAGCCAGGAGACTCTTCCAGGTCTCCCACGCGGGTGCAGGGGCCCAAAGCTTTGGGCCGTCTTCGACTGCTTTCCCGGGCCACAGGCAGGGAGCTGGAAGGGAAGCGGGGCTGCCGGGATTAGAACTGGTGCCCATATGGGATCCCGAGCGCAAGGCGAGGGCCTTAGCCACTGCGCCACTGCGCCGGGCCCTCCCTCATAATAACTTAGGAGAGCAGTATAACTGGTTCAAATCTTTGGGTCCCTGCCTCCATGTGGAACATCAAGAAGAAGCTCCTGGCTGCTGAGTTCAACTCAGCTGAACTCTAGCTATTGTGGCCATTTGGGGAGTGATCAACAAATAGAAAATCTCTCTCTCGATCGCTCTGTTTCAGTCTCTTTCTCTCTGTGAAACTCTGTCTTTCAAATAAAAATGAAATAAGTAACAAAAAATGAAAATTCTAACAGTGTAGATCTCACATCTAAAATTTAAAAGTTTGTCATAAAATTAAATAAAGTTTATTAAAACAAATTAATACATTTTATACTTTTCTGGAGTTTAACTGGTCCCATAAGAATTCAAAATGATATGACATGATTAAAAAATAAAGAAAAGTAAGAAGTTATTTAGAATTTCAAGATGTCTTCTGTGTAGATTATTATGGCAATCATAGAAAGGATAAGTATGTGAGAGCTCGAACAAGAATTAACTGCAATCAGATATACTGGGAAAAATGACAAGTTGCCTGCTGCTGGTAAAAGTGCCAACTTTGTCACTTGAGGATGTTTGAGCTTGGTTCATTATCTATACTTGCATCCACCTACTTTGGAGAAATGAGCTCCTGTGGGTATTTAGTGGCTTTTCCAAGAAACAGAATCATACTCAGCTGTTCTTTCTCTGAAAAGGGGGCAGGACCCTACCTGCCTTCCTAACTACAACTCCTTCTATCTCCTCATACATGCTGCCTACTAGGTCTGTATGATTATTTATTTCACAAATATTCCCTAGTGATTATACAGAAAAAAATTACAAATAAAAAAATTCTAAAAGCAGAGACGGGGAAATACATAGAAATATTATATTTTACTGTACTCGTTTTTTCTGGAATATTATGTTTAGTACATCCCAGTATTCAATTAGCTTGAAGAAATTAAAGAAACAAGGGGCAGATGATAGTGAAAGTTAAAATTTGTTCTTTGAAATACTTCAATTTCCTAGACTACTTTGCATTTTCTGCCATAAACATCATACAATTTAGTATTGTTTTTCATTTTTCTTTTTTTTTAAAGATTTATTTATTTTTATTAGAAAGGTGAATATACAGAGAGGAGGAGAGACAAAAAGGAAGATCTTCCATCCAATGGTTCACTCCCCAAGTGACTGCAACGGCTGGAACTGAGCCAATCTGAAGCCAGGAGCTAGGAGCTTCTTCTGGATCTCCCACGCGAGTGCAGGTCCCAAGGCTTCAGGCCATCCTCAACTGCTTTCCCAGTCCACAAGCAGGGAGCTGGATGGGAAGCAGGGCCACAGGGATTAAAACCAGAGACCAAATGGGATCCTGGTGCGTTCTAGGAGAGGACTTTAACCATTACGCTATAACGCCAGACCTTTTCTTTGTTTCTTTCTCTCTTTCTTTCTTTTAATTTTATTTATTTGGGGAATAGGGTAAAGACACGTTTAAACAAATGGAGAAATATTAGCCAGTGTGAAGCAGAAAGGGCACATTCCAGGAAACAAAAGAGGAAAGAACAACAGCAGAGGAGGGCCTGGAGACTGACAGACACAGGGAAGCAGCAGGCACAATGGTGTGGTGTTGCAGTGACTGATGCCCCAGTGGCATTCAGTGAATGGTGATCTGAACTCCACCGGCAGCTGAAGGAATAGCGCCCACCAAAACCAAAGATAAATGTGAAGCACATCCCAGTAAAATAACAACACAAGACTAAATTAATGAACAATCCATTGCTATAATGACACTACTAAATTACCACCTATTTGTATTAACCCTGAATATAAATGGCTTAAACTCATGGATCAGACATCATAGACTTAAAAAATCCATCATAGGCTGGATTAAAAAACAAAACCCATCTATTTGTTGCCTACAGGAGACATAGCTCAGCAACAAAGATCAGCGGAAACTATATCTCATGGATTTTGATTTTTTTGTTAGTTTCATCTCTTCAAAACACTTTCTTCTGATTAAATTCTTCAGTGATTCATAGATCATACAGAAACATCATTTTCTTCAAAAAGGTTCTTGATTTTCCTTTTCATTTCTTCAGCAACACATTAATCATTCAGTAGCATGTTATTTAACTGCATGGTGTCGTTCATCTCTTTTTTTCTAGCTGTTGTCGGTTATGTTTTGTGGCTCTTCACTTAAGGGGATGTATAGTAGCTGTGTAATGGAGACTATCATATCTAGCAGCATGTTATTTAACTTCATAGCATTGTAAATTTCTATTTTTCTTTCTGTTGTTGATTTTGTATTGTGGCTTTTCATTTAAGGGGATACATAGTAACTGTGTAATGGAGACTATCATATCCAGATGTGAAGATACAATGCAGTATGCATCTCTACTTCCAGACAAAGATGGACTCCCAATGAAGCTGCTTACTATATCTTGACAATAGAATGCTGGACTCTCTGTCCATGCTTGCAATGACGGACATATGATTGTGTATGAAGAACTATACCACATCGCTTCTCGGCCTTTTGGCTAAGATCAAGTGTAAGAACTATACTATAGCAATGATATAGGGGAACTCAGTGGGTGGGTAGGGAATTGAGGGGGGGAGTGAAATCTCACAATCTATGGAACTGTAACATAAAATGATAATAATGAAAAAAGTAAAATTAAATTTAAAATAATAATAATAAATGAAATACATATAAGTATGTATTATTTGGAAACTACAAAAATGGTTAAGCAATTAGCAAAATTCAGATAAACAAGTTATAAAATGTTCATCTACTGAAATAATATTATTAAAATGTCCATCCTAATAAGAGCAAAACAGTTACGACACAATTATTTGATAGCATTTTTCACAGACATGCACAAAACACTTCTAAAATCTGCACACAACCATGAAGAACCAAAAATAGTTGAAACAGTTCAGAGGAAAAAAAAACTGGAGGTCACACTTTCCCATTGGAAGTTGTATTGCAAATCAGTAGCCCCAGTCTGCAATGGTGGCAGTCCATATCAGTGCTAGTTTGAGTCCTGGCATCCCCTGCTAATGTGCCTGAGAAAAAAGAAAAAGATGGCCCAAGTGCTTGGGTCCTTGCCAACAGATGGGAGACCAAGATGGAGTTCCAGGTTTCTGGCTTCTATCTCTCCATACCTAGGCACTGCAAACACTCGAAGAGCAAATCAGCACATGGAATATAAAAGTTGTTTTCTCTCTCTCTCTCTGTCTCCCTGTCTCTCTCTCTCTCTCTCTCTCTGAAACTCGAGTTTTCAAGTAAATAAATTAAGCTTTTTTGTGTGTGTAGTGAGCCTTATTTTGGTTGCAACTGAGAGA